GTGTGTGTGTGTGTGGATCTGTGTGTGTGTGTGTAAGGGTGTGAATGTCTGTGTGTGTGTGTGTGAGTGTCTGTGTGTGTGTGTGGATCTATGTGAGTGTAAGGGTGTGGATCTGTGTGTGTGTGTGTGAGTGTCTGTGTGTGTGAGTATCTGTGTGTGTGTGAGTGTCTGTGTGTGTGTGTGTCTATGTGTCTGTGTGTGTGTGTGTGAGTGTCTGTGTGTGTGTGTCTATGTGTCTGTGTGTGTGTGTCTGTGTGTGTGTGTGAGTGACTGACCTGTCCCAGCTGTGGAGGTCAATGTGTGTGCGTATCGCCCGGTACGTGAGGCCTGCCTGCAGCAGGAAGCCCTCGGCCTGGTGAACGTCTGTGTGTGTGTGTGTCTGTGTGTGTGTGTCTGTGTGTGTGTGTCTGTGTGTGTGAGTGTGTCACTGTGTGTGTGTGTGTCTGTGTGTGTGAGTGTCTGTGTGTGTCACTGTGTGTGTCACTGTGTGTGTGTGTGTTTGTGTGTGTGTGTCTGTGTCTGTGTGTGTGTCACTGTGTGTGTGTGTGTCTGTGTGTGTGAGTGTCTGTGTGTGTCACTGTGTGTGTGTGTGTCTGTGTGTGTGAGTGTCTGTGTGTGTCACTGTGTGTGTGTGTGTTTGTGTCTGTGTGTGTGTGTCTGTGTGTGTGTGTCTGTGTGTGTGTGTCTGTGTGTGTGTCTGTGTGTGTGTGTCTGTGTGTGTGTGAGTGTCTGTGTGTGTGTGTCTATGTGTCTGTGTGTGTGTGTCTGTGTGTGTGTGTGAGTGACTGACCTGTCCCAGCTGTGGAGGTCAATGTGTGTGCGTATCGCCCGGTACGTGAGGCCTGCCTGCAGCAGGAAGCCCTCGGCCTGGTGAACGTCTGTGTGTGTGTGTGTCTGTGTGTGTGTGTCTGTGTGTGTGTGTCTGTGTGTGTGAGTGTGTCACTGTGTGTGTGTGTGTCTGTGTGTGTGAGTGTCTGTGTGTGTCACTGTGTGTGTCACTGTGTGTGTGTGTGTTTGTGTGTGTGTGTCTGTGTGTGTGTCACTGTGTGTGTGTGTGTCTGTGTGTGTGAGTGTCTGTGTGTGTCACTGTGTGTGTGTGTGTCTGTGTGTGTGAGTGTCTGTGTGTGTCACTGTGTGTGTGTGTGTTTGTGTCTGTGTGTGTGTGTGAGTGTCTCTGTGTGTGAGTGTGGATCTATGTGTGTGTGTCTGTGTGTGTGTGTGTGTCTGTGTGTGTGTCTGTGTCTGTGTGCGTGAGTGTCTGTGTGTGTTACTGTGTGTGTGTGTCACTGACCTGTCCCAGCTGTGGAGGTCAATGTGTGTGCGTATCGCCCGGTACGTGAGGCCTGCCTGCAGCAGTAAGCCCTCGGCCTGGTGGACGTCTCCGCTGAGCAGCGCCAGCGCCGCCCAGCGGCTCTCCGGCACCGGTAGCTCCCGGGTCGCCCTCACGTACGCCACGCGGTCCACCTGCCTCCACCACAACACCCACCAATCAGTGGCGGTGACGTCACCACCGCGCGTGTGCCAGGCCACGTGCACTCTGGCAGGAGGTCACGGGGCAGGCGCAGGTGCCGTGGGTCGACTGACTGAGATGACTTCTGGCCGATGCACCACCTGTGCCCCCTACTGTGAAAAATTCGCTGTGTTTACGCCACACACACACGTACACACAAAGACAAAGACCCCCCGTGTAGCCTTAACAGACTGTTGGGGCAAGTGCTGTTAGCGAGCGCCTATGAAGGCCGGCACGGCACACGAGGGGGTGGGTGGCCAGCACCACGCCCGGCCGCCTTTGTCTCCCCAGTGGTGATGTTTACACACCGCACCAGGTACTCATTTAAGGCCGAGTCGACCTAGCGGAGGCCCAGGACTCGTTCAGATAATCATCACCGGTGGTTGGCCGTGAGTGGGAATCAAACTGGAGCCGCCGGATTTACAGCGCAGCACGCTAACCGCTGCACCACCGCTCCCCACTACACACACATGGTCACATGCACATACACACAAACACACACACTCACATCTACACACGGAACCATCTACACACACACACAGACGTACACACTCTCACACACACCCCTACGTACACACACGTGCACACACGTACACACCCCTACGTACACACCCCTACGTACACACACACGTACACACATGTACACGTACACACACGCGTATACACACACACAGACGTACACACTCTCACACACACCCCTACATACACACACACGTACACACACGTACACACTCTCACACACACGTACACACACACGTACACACGTGTACACACTCTCACATGTACACACACACGTACACACACACACGTACACACCCCTACGTACACACACACGTACACACCCCTACGTACACACACACGTACACACCCCTACGTACACACACGTACACACACGTACACACACACGTACACACGTACACACACACTTACACACACACACACGTACACACACACGTACACACACACGTACACACACACACAACACGTACACACACACACACACGTACACACACACGTACACACACTCACGTACACACACATGTACACACACTCTCACACACACACGTACACACACACACTCAAACACACACACACACGTACACACACACGTACACATACACACGTACACACACACACACATGTACACACACACACGTACAAACACACACACTTACACACACACACACACGTACACACACGTACACACACACACTCTCACACACACGTACACACACACACAACACGTACACACACACACGTACACACACACACACGTACACACACACACGTACACACACATGTACACACACTCTCACACACACACGTACACACACACACTCAAACACACACACACGTACACACACACGTACACATACACACGTACACACACACACGTACACACACACACACGTACACACACACACTCTCACACACACACGTACACACACACTCTCACACACACACGTACACACACACACTCTCACACCACTCTCACACACGTACACACACACACACACACGTACACACACACACTCTCACACACACACGTACACACACACACTCTCACACACTCTCACACACACACACGTACACACACACGTACACACACACACGTACACACACACGTACACACGTACACACACACACGTACACACACACGTACACACACGTACACACCCCTACGTACACACACGTACACACACACACGTACACAGACGTACGCACACACACGTACACACACACACGTACACAGACGTACACACACAGACGTACACACACACGTACACACACACACACACGTACACACACACACACAGACGTACACACTCTCACACACACCCCTACGTACACACACGTACACACACGTACACACTCTCACACATACACACGTACACACACACGTACACACGTGTACACACTCTCACATGTACACACACACGTACACACACACGTACACACACACATACACACCCCTACGTACACACACACGTACACACACGTACACACACTCTCACACACACACGTGTACACACACACACAGAGCTGCGTGTGTGCGGGCCGAGCGGTGTCCCCACCTCCCCAATGGCGGCGTACGCGGCTTCCGCCGTCTCGAGCTCCCGGCAGCGCACGGCCAGCGCGGCCAGGCAGGCCCACAGCGCCGGGTCCTGGCACAGGCGGCACCACGGCACACGTCACCATGGCACCGCATGAGAGAGGAGCGTCACCACATGTGAGTCTCTGTGTGAGTCTGTGGGTCTCTGTGTGAGTCTGTGGGTCTCTGTGTGAGTCTGTGGGTCTCTGTATGAGTCTCTGTGTGAGTCTGTGAGTCTCTGTGTGAGTCTCTGTGAGTCTGTGGGTCTCTGTGTGAGTCTGTGGGTCTCTGTATGAGTCTCTGTGTGAGTCTGTGAGTCTCTGTGTGAGTCTCTGTGTGAGTCTGTGGGTCTCTGTGTGAGTCTGTGGGTCTCTGTATGAGTCTCTGTGTGAGTCTGTGAGTCTCTGTGTGAGTCTCTGTGTGAGTCTGTGGGTCTCTGTGTGAGTCTGTGGGTCTCTGTATGAGTCTCTGTGTGAGTCTGTGAGTCTCTGTGTGAGTCTCTGTGTGAGTCTGTGGGTCTCTGTGTGAGTCTGTGGGTCTCTGTATGAGTCTCTGTGTGAGTCTGTGAGTCTCTGTGTGAGTCTCTGTGTGAGTCTGTGGGTCTCTGTGTGAGTCTGTGGGTCTCTGTATGAAGTCTCTGTGTGAGTCTGTGAGTCTCTGTGTGAGTCTCTGTGTGAGTCTGTGGGTCTCTGTGTGAGTCTGTGGGTCTCTGTATGAGTCTCTGTGTGAGTCTGTGAGTCTCTGTGTGAGTCTCTGTGTGAGTCTGTGGGTCTCTGTGTGAGTCTGTGGGTCTCTGTATGAGTCTCTGTGTGAGTCTGTGAGTCTCTGTGTGAGTCTCTGTGTGAGTCTGTGGGTCTCTGTGTGAGTCTGTTGGTCTCTGTATGAGTCTCTGTGTGAGTCTGTGAGTCTCTGTGTGAGTCTCTGTGTGAGTCTGTGGGTCTCTGTGTGAGTCTGTGGGTCTCTGTGTGAGTCTCTGTGTGAGTCTGTGAGTCTCTGTGTGAGTCTGTGAGTCTCTGTATGAGTCTGTGGGTCTCTGTGTGAGTCTCTGTGTGAGTCTGTGGGTCTCTGTGTGAGTCTGTGGGTCTCTGTGTGAGTCTCTGTGTGAGTCTGTGAGTCTCTGTGTGAGTCTGTGGGTCTCTGTGTGAGTCTGTGGGTCTCTGTGTGAGTCTCTGTGTGAGTCTGTGGGTCTCTGTGTGAGTCTGTGGGTCTCTGTGTGAGTCTCTGTGTGAGTCTGTGGGTCTCTGTGTGAGTCTGTGGGTCTCTGTGTGAGTCTCTGTGTGAGTCTGTGAGTCTCTGTGTGAGTCTGTGGGTCTCTGTGTGAGTCTGTGGGTCTCTGTGTGAGTCTCTGTGTGAGTCTGTGGGTCTCTGTGTGAGTCTGTGGGTCTCTGTGTGAGTCTCTGTGTGAGTCTGTGGGTCTCTGTGTGAGTCTGTGGGTCTCTGTGTGAGACTGTGGCTCTCTGTGTGAGCCTGTGAATTTATGTGTGAGTCTGGAGGAGGAGGAGGTGGAGGTGGTGGAGGAGGTGGAGGTAGAGGAGCAGGAGGAGGAGGTGGAGGAGGTGGAGGAGGAGGTGGAGCAGCAGCAGGAGCAGCAGCAGGATGAGGTGCGTCGCCCCTCACCTTGACAAAGCGGCACAGGCGCAGGGCGTGGTCCCAGCGCTGAGCGGCGACGAGGCCGTGCAGAGCGCCGGGGTACGGCGACACCGGCACGCACAGCAGCGCCCCGTCAGCTCGGCGCACGCTCACGCACGCACCCAGAAACGAGAGCACGCGCGGAGACTTGCCCAGCTCCCTACACACACACACGTACGCACACGCACACACACACACACACGTACACACACGTACACACATGTACACACACAGACGCACACGCACCCAGGAACGAGAGCACGCGCGGAGACTTGCCCAGCTCCCTACACACACACACGTACACACACACACGCACACACACACACGTACACACACGTACACACACGTACACACACACGCACACACGCACAAACACACACACACGCATGCTCACACACACACACGCACCCAGGAACGAGAACACGCGCGGACACTTACCCACACACGTACACACACGTACACGCACAGACATGCACGTACACTCACGCACACGTACGCACGCACACACACGCACGTACACTCAAGTACACTCACGCACACACACACACACTCACGCACGCACACGTACAGATTCGCCACTACTCCCACTACTACTCCCACTCCCGCTACCACTACCACTGCCACTACTACCACTGCCTCTGGCACTGCGGGTGGTGGCGGTGTGGTGCGGTGTGGTGCGGTGTGGTGCGGTGTGGTGGCGGTGTGGTGCGGTGTGGTGCGGTGTGGTGCGGTGTGGTGCGGTGCCTCTACCACTGCCGCTACCACTGCCACTACAACTCCCACTACTACTCCCACTACCACTCCCACTAGCACTGCCTCTGGCACTGCAGGTGGTGGTGGCGGTGCGGTGCGGTGCAGTGCGGTGGTGGTGCGGTGTGGTGGCGGCGGTGCGGTGCGGTGCGGTGCTCACGGCGCGTCGCGGTGCCTCACGGTGGCGGGCGACAGGGCCGGGTCGGCGAAGGCGGCCGCCGGGCACAGCCACAGGGAGAGGCGGCCGTCACCGACGCCGCACAGCACCGGGGCGGTGCCGTGCCACGCCACGCACTGCACCGAGCCACCTGGCGGCGTGGCAAAGGTGGGCTGGGTTACCGCGGGGATTCGTGTTCTTGGCTCTTTCGGTAAAGTCGCGTGGAAGGGAAAACATAAAACAATAAAATAAAATATAATAAACTTATCTTCTTAGTTCTTTCGGTAAAGTCACGTGGAAGGGAAATAATAAAATAATAAAATAAAATAAACTTATCTTCTTAGTTCTTTCGGTAAAGTCGCGTAGAAGGAAAATAATAAAATAATAAAAACTTAAACATAATAAAATAATATCCTATGATAAAATTATTATTCTTTTTATTTTATTATTTCCCTTCTACGTGACTTTACCGAAAGAACCAAGAAGACGAATCCCTGCAGTCACGAAAGCTTTACATCGAAATAATAAACTTAATATAATTCTCACGACGTTTCGGCCACAACGCAAGCAGCCGTCCTCAGGTGAAGAACAGGTCTGTCGGAAAGACAGCGTCCGACAGCCCTGTGGAGAGGGGGGGGATAGGAGGGACCCCAGTAGATAAATTTACACGACCACAGGGACAGAAACACCCAAACTCCAAATATACAGCAGCAGCAGCAGGCGTCGTCAGGGTCGAGATTGAACCCACGACCTCCTGTACACCAGGCGAGGTAGTTAACATCTCCTAGCCACCGTGATGATGATGATGAGAGAGACGCAGACTCCAAATATACAGCAGCAGCAGCAGCAGGCATTGTCAGGGTCGGGATCGAACCCACAACCTCCTGTAGACCAGGTGAGGGAGTTAACATCTCCTAGCCACCGTGATGATGATGATGAGAGAGACGCAGACTCCACATATACAGCAGCAGCAGGCATCGTCAGGGTCGAGATTGAACCCATGACCTCCTGTAGACCAGGCGAGGTAGTTAACATCTCATAGCCACCGTGATGATGATGATGAGAGAGACGCAGACTCCACATATACAGCAGCAGCAGCAGGCATCGTCAGGGTCGAGATTGAACCCATGACCTCCTGTAGACCAGGCGAGGTAGTTAACATCTCATAGCCACCATGATGATGATGATGAGAGAGAGAGACGCAAACTCCAAATATACAGCAGCAGCAGGCATCGTCAGGGTCGGGATTGAACCCACGACCTCCTGTAGACCAGGCGAGGTAGTCAACATTTCAGAGGGCACCACGGTGGCACCCTCTGAGATCCCTTCTGTGTAAAGTGACACTCTGGCCCACACACACCGACCTGCCTGCCCACTCACCTACCTACCCATCTACCCACTCAACTACACACCCACCCACTCACTGACCTACCCCACCACTCATCCACCCACCAACTCTCTCACCAACCCACCTACCCATTCACCTACCCACTCACCTACCGACCCATCTACCCACTCACCTACACCTCCACCCACTGACCTACCCATCCACTCACCCACCCACCCACTGTCTTACCAACCCACCTACCCACTCACCTACCCACTCACCTACCCGCCCATCCACCCACTCACCCACGCACCCATCCTCTCACCCGCCCACCCACCCACTCACCTACCCACTCACCTACCTGCCCACCCACTCACACTCTCACCCACCCACTCACCTATCACCTATCCACCCACTTACCCACCCACTCACCTACCCACCTATCCACCCACCCAGCACCCCCCTCTCTCTTCCCCCCACCGCCTCCGGCCCTCCGCACCGATCTTGACGGGCGGCCTCCCCTCCCTGGCGCCGCGCGTGTGCACCACAAACACGTCCTGCGCCCCGTCCAGCAGCGCCAGCAGCCGCTCAGCGCCACCACCACCGCCACCACCGCCACCACCACCGCCACCACCGCCACTGGCATCCAGCGCCACCTGCACCACCTCCAGCTGGAGGGGGGTGGGGGGGGTACAGTCTCATCAGAGAGGCACCGTCTAGACAGAGAGTCTAGACAGAGAGGCAGCGTCTAGACAGAGAATCTAGACAGAGAGTCTAGACAGAGAGGCAGCGTCTAGACAGAGAGGCAGCGTCTAGACAAAGAATTTAGACAGAGAGGCAGCGTCTAGACAGAGAGGCAGCGTCTAGACAGAGAGGCAGCGTCTAGACAGAGAGGCAGCGTCTAGACAGAGAGGCAGCGTCTAGACAGAGAGGCACCGTCTAGACAGAGAGTCTAGACAGAGAGGCAGCGTCTAGACAGAGAGGCAGCGTCTAGACAGAGAGGCAGCGTCTAGACAGAGAGGCAGCGTCTAGACAGAGAGTCTAGACAGAGAGGCAGCGTCTAGACAGAGAGGCAGCGTCTAGACAGAGAGGCAGCGTCTAGACAGAGAGGCAGCGTCTAGACAGAGAGGCAGCGTCTAGACAGAGAGGCAGCGTCTAGACAGAGAGGCAGCGTCTAGACAGAGAGGCAGCGTCTAGACAGAGAGGCAGCGTCTAGACAGAGAGGCAGCGTCTAGACAGAGAGGCAGCGTCTAGACAGAGAGGCACTGTCTAGACAGAGAGGCAGCGTCTAGACAGAGAGGCAGCGTCTAGACAGAGAGGCAGCGTCTAGACAGAGAGGCAGCGTCTAGACAGAGAGGCAGCGTCTAGACAGAGAGGCAGCGTCTAGACAGAGAGGCAGCGTCTAGACAGAGAGGCAGCGTCTAGACAGAGAGGCAGCGTCTAGACAGAGAGGCAGCGTCTAGACAGAGAGGCAGCGTCTAGACAGAGAGGCAGCGTCTAGACAGAGAGGCAGCGTCTAGACAGAGAGGCAGCGTCTAGACAGAGAGGCAGCATCTAGACAGAGAGGCAGCGTCTAGACAGAGAGGCAGCGTCTAGACAGAGAGGCAGCGTCTAGACAGAGAGGCAGCGTCTAGACAGAGAGGCAGCGTCTAGACAGAGAGGCAGCGTCTAGACAGAGAGGCACTGTCTAGACAGAGAGGCAGCGTCTAGACAGAGAGGCAGCGTCTAGACAGAGAGGCAGCGTCTAGACAGAGAGGCACCGTCTAGACAGAGAGGCAGCGTCTAGACAGAGAGGCAGCGTCTAGACAGAGAGGCAGCGTCTCGACAGAGAGGCAGCGTCTAGACAGAGAGGCACTGTCTAGACAGAGAGGCAGCGTCTAGACAGAGAGGCAGCGTCTAGACAGAGAGGCAGCGTCTAGACAGAGAGGCAGCGTCTAGACAGAGAGGCACCGTCTAGACGGAGTGGCAGCGTCTAGACGGAGGTGCCATCCTGTGCGTGAACCCTGCTCACCTTGTGTGTGAGCGTGAACCCTCCTCACCTTGTGTGTGAACGTGAACCCTCCTCACCTTGTGTGCGAGTGTGAACCCTGCTCACCTTGTGTGTGAGCGTGAACCCTGCTCACCTTGTGTGTGAGTGTGAACCCTGCTCACCTTGTGTGTGAGTGTGAACCCTGCTCACCTTGTGTGTGAGCGTGAACCCTGCTCACCTTGTGTGCGAGCGTGAACCCTGCTCACCTTGTGTGTGAGTGTGAACCCTGCTCACCTTGTGTGTGAGTGTGAACCCTGCTCACCTTGTGTGTGAGCGTGAACCCTGCTCACCTTGTGTGTGAGCGTGAACCCTGCTTACCTTGTGTGCGAGCGTGAACCCTGCTCACCTTGTGTGTGAGTGTGAACCCTGCTCACCTTGTGTGTGAACGTGAACCCTCCTCACCTTGTGTGTGAGCGTGAACCCTGCTCACCTTGTGTGTGAGTGTGAACCCTGCTCACCTTGTGTGTGAGCGTGAACCCTGCTCACCTTGTGTGCGAGCGTGAACC